TTTTTATTTTTAATTTTACTGATTTTTTTAAATGATGGGGACATGGGAACATCGATTATTTGCTAGAAAATTGAATTTGTTTTATTTTTATTTTTAAATATATTGATTTTTTTAAATGATGGGGACATGGGGATATTGATTATTGGCTGAAAAATGATTTGTTTTATTTTTATTTTTAATTTTACTGATTTTTTTAAATGATGGGGACATGGGGACATTGATTATTGGCTGAAAAATAAGCTATTTAGTTTTTATTTTTAAATATATTATTTTTTCAAATAATGGGGACATGGGGACATTGATTATTGGCTGAAAAATGAATTATTGAATTTTCGTTTTTTGTTATATTGTATTTTTTTAATAATGGGGACATGGGGACATTGATTATCAGCTAGAAATGAATTGTTGAGTATTTATTATATTATATTTTTTTTATGACAATAAGATTAAGATATTGATCGTAATTGATGAAGAATAATATTGTAAATATAAGACAATTTTACGAAGATTTTTTTCTTCTGTGATTGTGATTTCATAAGTATTTTGCCGAATCGGTTATATAGGAAAAGACATGAATATTTTCAGTTAGATAATATTTATTACGTGTGATGATAAAATCAAAGAAAGAAATATGATAAACAGATTTCAAAGCTTACGATCACATTCAAGAAAAATGAAAGTCAGTAGTTAAATAAACATAAGGCAACGGAGACGTGCGGTTGTGTATTATTTTCTCATTAAATGTTTCCATCGAATAGTAATATTTCAATTATAAAAACAAAATACATCGATTTATCTAATTAAAAATGTCGTCATAGCTTATGTTTAATCATTATGTGTTTCATAGTAACGAACCTTGATAAATAGAATACAGTTCATTTACATAAGCGACATAAACATTTAATTTAGTAGATCTTAGCAAAAATTTTTAATATAGAAAATTTATGGGAATAATAATTTTAGGAAAACTATGTAATAATATATTATGAGATGAGACGATCAATTATTTTATATTTTTATAATACTAAACGTTGAATAAATTAGTATATAATAAATGACGAGCACACAAAAACACAAAAATTTTCAGAAAAAATCAAATACATGGTACAATAAGTTCACTCAATTTCTTATTCAACGTTTTTAATATGTTTTTTGGGAAACTACTATACAAATTATTTGTTTTATTCTAATAAAAGAATCTTGCCCGATATTTTTTCTTTTAATTCTAAATGACGAGCACAGAAAAAATGGAAAAAATATATGATACAATGAATCGCCTAATTTTTTATTAGTTGTTCTTAATATGTTTTTTTTGTTGGACGATATTATACAAATAATCTATTTTATTATAATAGAAAAATGTTTTTTGATATTTTTTTTCGACCAAAACAAAACAAAATTCAAATTTTCGCGCGGAAACAATAGCAAGTTTTGCCTGTTTAATTTTGCCTAAAACTTAATTTTGCCTGGGACATATATTTGTGCATTGTTTACATCTAACTTTTTATCTTTCAATTAGCAGACTCAATACTTGTCCCTCTCTCTTTTCACGGGAAGCAAGTAAGATGCACGAGTATTATTATAATTATCATCTCCTTATTTGTTGTCGAACAAGAGTGCGAAAAATAAGAATGTTAAATTTCATGTTACATTTGAACAGAATTCTCATATTATCTGGTGTAACACTTTTAATTAATGATCTTCAAGAACTCAAAAGTAACTCATAGCCATCTCGTTCAAGATAAAGCGTATATGTATGACAATATTTTGTTTTAATATCTTTTTCATCAATAATAAACGAAGTTTTATGTTGTTTTATATTAAATCTAAAATATTCTCAATTTTGAATGTTTTAATACAACTATTTCAAAGAATAAGTTTATAATTTACATAACTATAATTTTATGAAATAATATAAATTACGATAGTGTAGGAGAAACTCGAATGAGGTTTCGGTACAGTTATATGATGTAAATTGTAATCATCTTTATCAATCTGATCGGATATAAATAAGTATTGTACATACCTTGAACAATAAATTTTTCTTTTGATATATTTCAAAATATTCGACATTTAATAGTTGAAGAAGGACTCTTAAAATATTTTTCAATTTTTGTAGAACAAAACAAAAAAGAAAAAAAATTGCTACTTTATCAACAAATTATTTAATATAGAAATAGTATAGATTAGTCATCTATGATATTATATCGATTTTTCTTTTCTGTTCTGTGTGAATAGAAGAATGAATTAAAAAAAATGGTGTCAGCAGTGGGATTTGAACCCACGCCAGCATACGCTGACCAGAACACTCCACCTCACTGAGGAAGCATTACGCTTGAGTCTGGCGCCTTAGACCACTCGGCCATACTGACTACGATAATATTAGGTTTATAACTTGATGTGATTCAGTTGACTATCGAACGAAGGAAATTAATATTATATTATTTTTTTATCTTATGTGCTTACCTTATAGAGTGACATTAAATTTTCTTCAGAGAATTTTTTTTATCGAAAATTTCGAAATTCAGATAAATGCATGGGAGGGTAGCTTGGCTTCAGATCTTTCAGAAGTAATACAGTTCTCAAATTGGTATCATATTTTAAGGCAAAGTGTTTAATAAGTTCGATTAATGACTTTCTAAAAATTGATTGAACTTATTCACAACGTCTGAATAGAATAATTGCACAAGAAGAATTTAAAACATCAATTAAAAATATTAATCGCATAATCTCTTTATTCAAAATAACTATAATTATTTCTGGTATTATTGTACTATTTAACTCAGCTCATCGGTATTGTAACAATGGTGATTTTTATTACACAATGTCTACATCCAAGTATGATGCGACGCAAAGTAGCTAAGGAATCAAGCAAGTATTCTTCACGATCATAAAAACCATGTTACTGACGCGCTGATATGTTTGTGCCTTGGAGTGAACGATATTGAAATCGTCGGAGACAAGCAATCATTTATAGCGTAAGTGTATTCTTTTCGGATAGCGATTGATATTGGAAGTTTCCAAGCAACAACATTACGTTGGTCACATGAATTTTAAATGATGGGTGAAGAAATATGCAGAAAGAAAAATAATATTCAATTTATAGATAATCTACAAAATTTTCTTATTAAAAAGAACTACACATACAGAGAAACAGAGAAAAAAATCATATTGTAAACACTGTCGATTAATCATTCCATAGATTAAGTGAAGAAGCAAAAAATTCGTATGCTCCATCCGTACATATGTTATTTTCTTGCAGAAATTCCTCCATGACTGACAACGATGTACGATTAGAATAAAACCATTGAACAGTTGTACTTATTAGATGATGAAGTTTCTCAAATATCGGAAGAATATCATTTCGTTCTTTAACATGTAAAGAAATATGTTCTAGTTTAGGAAATATTCGACAGATTTGATCAATATCATTTCTATGAATAACATCTTTTACATGTAAATTTTTAATTTGTTCATATGTATGTTCATTATTTGAAAGTGAATCAAGAATATGTGTTAATGCTTGGCCTCTCATAGTTAATTGAGAAATATTTGGTGCAGCTTGTATAAGATCATGAAATACTGGAGATCCTTTCAAATAATCAATAATAAGATGATGAATAGATAATAGATTAAGAATGCTTCGTAACTGATCAATATTATCAGCAGTACATTGAATCGATAGAGTTTGAATATTTTTGAAAGGTAGTGAAACAGCAACCGGTGTTGGCAAATGATATATTTTTAAATGTTTGCAATTATCATCAAATGGATAAGGATTTAATGAACGAGCGTCATTCAATAAATGATTAGAAAATCCTTGATTCAGTGGATACCAATCTTCAAAAGGTGCAAAATGAGGTACAGAGAATAACCTTGCACATGATTGAATACTAGTAGACATGAAACAACCCATTTGCCAGTGTTTTTCTTTTGTCCAAAATGGAGTTTGAAATGGTGTAAGAACTTCATCAGCAGTCATAGTATTTTCTTCTGGCATAATGTTCAATGCAAGATCTTTTAAATGTGGTAATTTGTTTTTAATTAATGATTCCCATCGTTGACCATGAAGTAATGTTGGTTCACCATACGTTTCTAATACGAGACGTTCCAGAGATGAAGTCAGCGAAAAGAGATTCTCAAGATGATGAAATAATATCCAACTTTTTGATTCGATTATCAAAGAATTTAAATGTGGTGGAATATAATCAAATTTTGGCATGGTTTGATCGTATGACACTGATATCTGAAGGTAAACGAGATTTGGAATCCATCGAAAAATATTTGCTAAGTCAGTATATGAACAAGAATGAATTGTCAAATGAGTAAGTTTAGATAATGGTTGTCGAAGACAAGTTAATGTTGAACTATTTAGAAATGTTAAATATTTCAAAGAAGATAAAGTCGTTAAAGTTTCCATGATACTACGGCATAGTTTTTTATTTATTTGAATTGATTGACTGGAAACTGATAGGAAATTGAGTTTGGTATGATTTTCAAGATATGATATCATTAAACAAAGTAAATTCGCATCATCTATTCCATGAATAGTTAATGATTGAAGATTAATACAATTTATCAATGGTAAATGTAACATAAACAATTGAATTTGTTTTGGAGTATGTTCATCATTAGAAAGAACAAGAGATTGTATTTGTTCAGGATAAACACGTTCACATATATAATGGAATAGTGATTTTTTTATAGATTTAAAATTAAGTTGAATACGATGATATGATTGAAGTATACTATCTAAATATGGATTAGTTCCATTGAATGCATGTAAAAGATCAGTTGTATTCAAAAAATCAAAAATTTGATGTAGAATTTCCCAAGGAAGACGATCAAATTTATATGGCATGATTGAGAAATAAACTAATCAATCTATAAATTATAACATAAAAAAATTAACTTTTGAAAGGCGAATCATAAATATTAAAAATATTTTACTTGTGTGTTGTGCAATTCAGATGAAATCACTATTATGAAACTATGTGTCACACTCAAAACAACGTCCTGTAGAATCTCATAAAAGATGTCGTTAATTTATGGTCAAAAATCTTCAGTTATGATTCCTTTTATTCACATGGCTTGATACCTATACTATGAGAAATTTAACATCATATAGTGATATATTTGCTTGTTTATTAATAAAGAGTAAAGTATTTTATAAATATATATATCAATGTTACCACCATAAATACAGATCCCAGTCGATCATTTTTAACATATAATCATCAAGTAAAGTCTCAGATTCGATTAATGTTTTTAATTTTGTATACCAAATTTTATTTGCCGATAAAAGACTTCATGAGCATAGATGATTAGTATTACGATTTGTTTTCTCTACTAGAAATCGTATACATGATTCTAAGTTCTTCGTATGGAGCTTTATTGTAAGGTGTTGGATTCGAGGGAATAATGCAACAAGTATTTGAAGTTTCTCTAATGTACATTCTCCATTACAAGTCACGTTTGTAATGTTATTTGTACTGGATATCAGCTGAAAAGATTGATTTTACTTTTGATGAATTAATTACATTGAGTACTGTTTTAAAATTTAATATCATTTTATGGGAAAATATATGTTGACATACGTGTTAACTTACGTTTTTCGATTGTCTTACAACGTTTAACTTATCTCGTTCCTGCAATTGGAACAGATCCATGTATTTTCGTAAAAATTGTGTAAAGAGTTAAATAAAACAGGATAAACTTGAATGCGGTAAGACTATTTGATGGTGAAACTAATATCATGATATTAAAAAATAGCCTAATCACATGTTTATTAGTGTAGATATCTTTCAAACAAAATATTTAATCAATTGTGAAATTCTAAAAAGGATAAGGTCGAGTTATAACTTATTTAAGATATAATATTGGTAAAATGTCATATGAATCGTTTACAGTTATTATTATTCATAAGTATGGGTTATTTATTTGTGTTTGTATTAGTTGTTGGCGCTGTTTGTTGTTCTGGTAGATTGGGTGGCGAATATTGTGGCATATTTCCAGTTACTGTAGCTCCAAAAAGAGTAGCACCACCGATTACAAGTACACGCGCAGCTGTTTTACTTGCGAATCGAAGCATGATTCAATCAACAAAAAAATACGATAAGAAATATTGTTTAAACAACTATACCAAACTGTTGAAGATGTAGATTTATATGAACTTCTGAAAAAAAGGCACAATTAAAATATATTAAAATTATATAGACGATGTCTGGTTCACGCTAAAAAGTTACGATACAAAATGTCACTATCGGTCAACTATCTTGTATAAATCAAAACATGGGACCTCACTCGAAGACTTTTACATCTATATAGATCTTACAGTAAATTAACTTTTTTAGATATTTCAAACATTGTAAGATCTACTAATAAACAAAAAATCGAACGAGATTTAGCAATATGATTTTCTTACTAAACGATTAATACACAAGGAAAGTTTGCTTACTTTAATTTTGCTTAAAAATGTATATTTTTTAAAAAGATAAATGACTACCGAATAAGATAAGAAGATAATGTTTCACTGCGTTGTTATCATCAAACTAGTCTCGAAAAAGATGTTCGCTTATTGTAGATAAAATTTTATTTTTGAGAAGATCTTACAGCAGTGTATATATTCTGAGAATTTTAAATCTTAACGGAATTCGTGAGCTATTAAGCGTTTGAATAATAGAATATTTACACTCATACTCTCGCCATTCATTAACGTCATTTTACTATAAATCAGGTCCGTAATGTGAAAATACTACCTGACATTGGTTTTTAACACTTTGTGACAATGTTAATATCATATGTAATAGTGGTTGTGAAATACTTACAAAAATACAAACTATTTTTGTTTTGATTTTTTTATAAATTTTTCGTTACTTTTTAATGACGACTAGCAACGAAAAATGTATGAAGAATTTTGCATGTGCGAGCACATGGCACTCTCTGTAATCTTTATTTCAACACTCGCACACAACTCGTCATTTTCTTCGCTCTGGAAGAATATGCCACTTGTTTGATTGCGTAGAGTGAAATTGTTTTTTGCATTAGATATTCTATAGAGTTTGTGTAACATTCGAAATAAGTGGCTGAAAAAAACCAGGCGATTCTTTTTGCATAGTATTCTCACCATCTTGAGGTGTGGGTGGGCGTGGGTGAATGTGAGAGGGCGTGAGTGTGTGTATCCTATTTTGTTCATACCCAGATCCCAACCCACCTACACCTATCTCACAAGTTTGTATCACCGAAACTAATTGCTAAGAGACAAGACTTGAGAACTATTGATTTAATCTTTTTTATGATATAAGTAAATTTATTTATTCTATTTAAAAACTTTAAGATATTACTAATGATAGTTTTATTAAAGCATTTATGAATAAATAGTTATAATGTGAAAAATAAATAAATGTTGCAAACTACAATAGAAAATTTTGTCATTTTTACAATGCTCAATATAATTCTGCACTATTTAAATAAATACTACTGTTAAAAACACCACCAGTAACTAATACTGTTCCATTTGTTAATACGGATACTATATGAGGGTGTAGGTAGGGGTGTAGGTGCCAGGCGAAGACAATACCCAAACCCACACCTACACCCGTACGGATACCCGCACACACATCCACATCCTTGTCTCTAAGTTTTGTATCAGAGGTAGGATTAGCAATCTTTTTGATATTCATATTCTTGTAGAGCTTAACGAATTCTATAGAACCATAGAAAATTTTTTAGGAAACAGTATTTCACGTCGGACATTACAAGAGTACTTTTGTTTTTTATAGAATGTACACTATAAAAGTTTTCATTGAAAATTAATAAAATGACCTTAATTCAGATGATATCTTAAATCTTCTTCTACAAAATGACAAAATTTGATTAATCACTTCGCATATCTTTATTAGAGATATCTTTGAAAATTGAGAAAGATCGAAAAATTTGAATCGTCCTTCAGATGCGAGAAAAGCATTTTAAAAAGTCGCAAACTAAAGTTATGCTTTTTTGTGAATTGATACTCTATGTAGTGTTGAATCTTGTTATCGAGGAAGAGATCATCTTATGAACTTTCGAAAAAAATTAGTTTTATTATTATTGAGGTTTTTCGTCTGTCTTCTAGAATCCAATATAGACATTCGCACTGTTCGGTAGTCCACCGTCACCTCTCAAATAAAAACTAATTGTATAATTGACACCGACAACACTGGAAAAATATTGATAGAGATAATCAACAGCGCCTGTCGATGCATCTTTCCAAAAATAATAACCGGATTGTGAATAGATAAGATTATATTGTACAAATCCAAAATTCGTCGCATTATTCGGATTGCATGATGACCAGCCAGACATGGTACCAGAGTCAAAATCACCATTTGTTAACAATTCTGTACTTGTACCGATTCTTTTCACAGACAATGTGTCTAACGACCAGTTATCTAAATCCATACGAAACGACAGTGTTAGACGAGTCGATGTGGTAACAGCGATGTAATTGTAACTATATTGTATATAGCCACTTTGACTTGGACTGTTTGTTAAATTAAGCAGCATTGTTGCGCCTGTTAAACTCGATATGCAAGTGAACATAGTTGTTGTTGTTGTTGTTGTTGTCGATGATGATGATGATGTTGTCGACAATAATGTTGTTGTTGTTGGGCTGTACCTATATTTGCACAATGAAGTTAGAAACAAGTAATTACTTATTATGGCATTTGCACATAGAGATAAATCTAGTAATTAGTAATAGCTAAGAGCTACCTTTTTTCTTTCTCTCATAATGTAGTGGTATGTAAGACATGTAAAATTTAGTGATTAAAAATGTTTTCTGTTACATTAACTAAATGAGCAAGATGTGGATGTAAGATGATGTCAATATTCACACTCGCACCCTCAAGATGATTACACATTGCAGGACCTGTTTTGCTTTTTCCAAGAATAGGAGAGTGAATCTGGATTTTGCATGAATGAAAATACTACTCTATTGATGATTCTATCGGATTCTTTTTTAATACTTTTAGTCGAGTGAATGCAGCTTGTATTATACTAATATTCAAAAGGAATATGATTGAAACTTACGTGGATGTTGTTGTACTAGTAGTCATTGCTAAAACAAAAGAGTAAATGTGTTAGATTTTTTGTATGAAATATACACTAATGAGAATACATGAGATTCTTCCAGATGTTTTATGAGAATGGAATAATAAATCAAAAGAAATTTTTATAACAATAAGACAATTTTGAATTGTATTTTTATAATTCTATCCAATTCGGTATGGTTTCTAAGAAAAACTAATTAAACTATTCTTTACTCAACGAAAAATAATCATAAAGAGAAATGTTTAAACTTGAAAGTTTCTATATACTTTTGTTGCTCATATGTTATTCACGTTACAAAAAATAATGTTTATTTTTTGTCTGTATTTGTTTTCCTTCAAAAAGCTCTGTGACGGTATTTGATCGGCTATCGAATTTCATATTACTTACGAGCTGATAATTGTCTGTCATCGATGGCAGTCATAGTTATAATGTTTGCTTGTGTGATCAGATTGCCATATTGACTTGGAATATCAACGAAGAGTTCACATTGATTATTGGATTGATCAAATGTAAGCGTACGGCAATTAGTATTAACTAAACACGCAATTACACAGGCTCTCAAGTTTAATGCCAAAACGGTAGTAGAAGATGAACAACCATAATTAGTACATTGATACTGAATATTATTCCATTTAGTTAATAATAATGAACGTATATCTTGTGATATTATTTGGGTAATAATAATAAAGAAAAGAAACAATAGAATTGTGTTTCTCATGTTAAATAAAAGTTAACTGTTAAAAAAATGAATGTGTTTTTAACAAAAAAGAGAGTAACATATGTGGTAAGTTAGTTTAGAATTTAGTTAAGATTGAAATTCTCTATTATAGCATAAATGTTGTAATAGAATACTTTATATAAATAAAGTTTTTGTTTTTGTGGATATAAGGTTATTTGTTTGAGTATGCAATTAGAAACGCTTCAATATTTTCTTTTATCTCGTTTAAGGAAAATAATATTTGCGATAGACGTTTGTTTTCTAAAGGACGAGACATTTGGACAATAATATTGTCTTTTATCTCGTTTAAGTAAAATAATATTTGCAATAGATGTTTGTTTTTCAAACACAGGAGATTGGGACAATAATATTTTCTCTTATATTATTGAAGGAAAAAGATTTGCATGAAATATTTTATTTAGTGGTAAGATAATTGATTGATTTTAGAAGTTTAATGATCAGAAAGTTTTTTTTAGTTTGAAAGAAATATTATTGATTTTTCAAATGTCTGAGAACTAATATACCGAATGTTCCGAGGATATTATTTAATTAGTAAATGGGTTTAGCATTGTAGTTATTGTTTTTGTTATATTATTTCTTCTTGTGTATCTTGCTCGTCTATATATGAGTGAATTGCAACTTTTTGGTACAATTGGTGCGAAAAACTGAAAGTAGACCTAGACAATTTCTGATCAGTGCATTTTATTAAACTCTGTGCCTGTGCTACACAGTAAAAATTTCCCAACACTTTACCGCATATTAACTGAGATACGACTTACTCAATGTAAATGTACCATAAAAAACGTTATTTTATTGAAAAACGTCACTCTACATTTTTCAGTATAATGTAAATTTCTCGAGAATGGTACGAGATCCAAGGCTGAATTTTTTACCAATAATAGAACTTTTTGTTTTATACATTCTCTAAAAATTTGAACTAAATCTGACAACCCGTTCGAGAGTTATAAAGCAGACAATTTTCAAATTGTCACTCTACAAAGTGAGTAAACGTCTTTTTTTTTAGAAAGTTCGTTGTTTTTTTGTTTGAAATAAACTTGATAAGAGAGAATCTTTTCACATCAGTTTTCTAGTTAAAGTGTTGGCTTTCTTTTTATATCATCCGCGCGCTGCCAGCTCTGTCATAGGCTGAGCTAGAACCGTGTTTGTGTCACTCTACATAAAAACGAACAAGTGTCTGTTAAACAATGTGACCAGTAGATGAACGAACCAATGAAAATTCAAACTAAAATTAGTTATATATTTCGATAGAGCGTCAAAAACTGTACAAAATAGATTAATAATCTCCTTTTCCTCGTGCCTCTTTATAGTCGAAAAATTTCCTTTTCTTAGCATATGTCATGAAAAAATGACATTTTTTTATCATAAATTTTTTATAACTCAGCAATAACATGAGCTACTGAGCTGAAATTTTGCACGGCAGTGAGGTGTTCAAAGCACTATAACATATCAAAAAATCGTTGAAATCGGCCGGAACAAACTGGAGTTATTAGCGAAATACACTAAAAATCTAATTGTACCAAAAAGTTGCAATTCACTCATATAAAGTTCGAATAAATGGATGGGAATGAATTTAGGGTGTGGGTGGTGATGTGAATATGAGAGTAACTCTGTTTGGGTGATTACTAAAAGAAAAGGCACCCACACCACACTCACACCCTATTTCGCATTTTCATAAGATTTTTTTGCTATTTTCACTATAAGACTTGAAAAAACAGCATCAAACTCTTTGAAAGATTGATGATGACGGAACACTGAATCTACTTGAATTCTCGGCATTTATTGACAGATACGTAGAGATGAAAATCGCAGCTCTCTAGCTCTTTCTGTTCTCGAGTTATTGCAAAAATATCCGAATCCACTATTTTTTTAAACAGACAGTAGTATTATGAAGATTTTTCATTTTTTATCATTACACTAACATATAACGATCTAGGCAGGTACGCGTAAGATATAAAAAGATTGAACGAATATACATATTTTATTTCCTTTTCTTTCTTAAAACACTTGACTAAGTTTCCCTCATCCACACCATCAAATCAAGCAATCAGTTGCATATGTGTGCTTTTATTCTTAATCATTACCAATAAATTAGTGGTTTATTCATGACATAGATGATATATTTATTTATTTAAATATTATATTATAAAATAGAATACAATCAAACAAAGAATCATCATTTTTCCATAATTCTATTCACCTTCTTCTATTTTTATCAGACCTAAAATTAAAATAAATATCACTATAATCTTTTACTTACAATTTCTATATATCTTGTAATAAGATTAAAAACGCATGTTTTCCAGAACACTTAGATTTTTCTTACGGATTATCTATTCGTATCTTCGAGACTCGATTCCAGTGATATGTGTCGAAAATATTGAAGATACACCGATGAAAGTTCATATATTTGCTGCGAATTATATAAATTATCATCACAAACAAATAGGATTTTCATATCGGTGGCCTTCAACATATCCGATCAACCCAAAGCATCATTTGTTATATGACGATAGCAGGGTTTCGTACGATCGAATACACTGGAAGCCGGGTTTTTAACTCAAACGTAAAAAGTTCAAGCAAATTCGAAGAACGATAATTAATGCGTAAGCAAATCTGGGTCTAAGGAGAGCAAACGTTTCCAATCTGTCATCGTTGTAGGTTGTTAGCCACCAGGTGTGTGCTTTTGTTGCACAGCACGTAGTTAATGATCAAAACTGGAAGATGAAAAATACATGAAAAAACACTTCTTTATATAGTCGACGATGTTATTGCACAAGCATATGCTAACATAGAATATTCGAGAAGAAGAGAACGGAGAAAAAAATTACTAAAAAGGATTGTATGATGGTGTAAATTAACATTTTTCTCTATCTTTACGAAACAATATGATGGCGTGAGACTATTGACATAGTAACATACGAGCAGTTTGTTAACTAAACAGAAAGATTTCAATCGAAGACAAAAAAATTGTGAAAATGAAAGTAGATGTGTTTTAAATAATCATGCAAAAATTCAACGATAGATGTTTTTGCCTTGATCAACCAATCTGTAAACTATACATAGGAACTCATATATTCCAGTTGAAACTATTTTAAACAAGTTTTCATATTAATCTATGAATTCTTTCTATCAAAATTTAGAATTAATGTCATACTTTTCTATTATTGAAATACATATTCAATTTTAATTTTTTTCTTAAGCATAGAAATAAATAAATTAAAATGAGATAGAAGACTTTTGTCTTGTACAATTAATTAGTAAATGTTTACATCTATTTATAGACTTTATACACTTTATAGTTTACAAAAACACATTGATTAGAAAAAAACAGTAAGTATTAAATTCATACAGAAATATTATGAATACAATAGACGTAAACATAGTCAATTGAGAAAATATTTTCTGATTACAAAATCGTTCTTTGTTTTTATTATCTAATCAAATAAAATTTCATAAATTTTCTTTTGTTTATATTATTCGACTGGGTTATCAACAGAATTCGGGTGTGACTGAAGAGGATACACTCGTACGCCGTCACCAACACTTACACCCTCAAGATCTTTCTAATGCTGTTGAGTGAATATTATATAAAAGAACGTCTCATATAGAAAAATATTCTTTTTAGTTTTATTATTCAAAGGTCACATTAAAATACAAGAAGAATATTAAAATCAAAACTGGATGATTTTTGTTAAATGTATAATCACAGATTTGAAACACTATGATATCAACCTGAATTTATGTATTTAATATCAATATATATATAAGCAAAATATTTTGCGATTCTTAAAACTCAAATGAGATATACTTAAATATAATAGAATGATAGCTTACAGTGTCTAGTTTATGAAATCGATGTGCATTAACGGTTTATGACGTTTCAGTAAACATAGAAATTTTGAGTTTTGACACTTTCTTCATAAATTTCCAAGATTTTCACGATTATTAATGAAATATATAAATTTATTTATCCACTCGACTTGAAAGACAAAAATGGATGTTGTTCATTGGTGAATAGGTGTCATGAATTATATTCATTGTTTCATTCATATCATATCAGTCACATAGAAAACAATCATTTCATTGTGTTCATCCAAAAATAAAATTTAACGTACAATTTTCAATATTTAATGGTTAATAATATAAAATTAGAAGATATATCAAATGAACTTTTCTTATGTATTTGGGATCAATTATCAATGGCGGATGCTATTTATAGTTTTTCTAACCTTAATACAAGAATTGATTGTATGTTATTCAGATTTTGTTGCCTTTATGATAAATTAGATTTACGTTATTGTTCATTGTCAATATTTCGTTATTTTTCTCATCAAATAATAATGAAAGATGAATGGCGTTTGAATTTAACCGTTTTAAAAATAGGTAATTCATATCGTTGTTCTCAAGTGATTTCATTAGCCGATGAAGTGATAAAGTTTTTTATGAAAAATTATTTTATAAGAAAAGATAATCAGAACAATAATTCATCAAATTTACTCCATATGATAAATTTACTGAAGAAGAAAAATGTCGAACCAATATTTCCTCAATTAAATACGTTAATTGTTTATCAGAGTATAACAATGAATGAAAATTATCGAGATATTTTTCTGTATGGTATCGCTTGTGGATCAACTTTACGTACATTAAATTGGAGAGCTTGTTCCTATCAAACTCATCATTCGGAATCATTTTTCGATTGGTTATTTCAATGTTCAACTAATTTACATAAATATCAACTCTTAAATACATTAGGTGAAAGTGGTTTTGAACTTTCGTATCATCATACATTGATTAATAGTTATCAATTTCATCCATCACTTATTTTTCTTAAAATTAATATTTTGAATTTATCAACTCTATTTGTGTTACTTTATTATCTTCCAAAACTTGAATGGCTCGGTAAATTTTATATTATTTCTTAAAAAATTCCTTTAAATAGTTTACTATTTTATTTCTAAAGATGTTCATATTAGCAATCCTATTGAAGTAGAAAATGATTTTAATAAAAATTTGTCAAAAACTATGGATTATCCGATTAAACTTCATACTCTTAAGTTCAGGTAATATTAGGAATTCAGAAAAAAAACTTTTTTCATTTTCTCTTATCCTATTCAAAGAACATTGAATATACAAGGACGAGGTTGTTATGAATTAGAAAATCTTCTATTAAAATTTGTTCAATCACTTGAATCTTTATCCATATCCATGTATCATCGATGTGCTAATGAACCTGGTCTAAATTATAATGGTTATTCTCTAAGTATTCTTTGTCAAAAATTCCTACATCTTCGATCATTTCATTTTGCTCTTCAAATACAAATGTTCGAAAAAGCTGATGAAAATGTCATTAATAACTTTGTAAACACATTCTCTACACCTTTTTGGCTTAATGGACCTTTTGGATGTAAACGAGTATGCGTGGATTTCGAACAAATCTATGGTCTGATACAAATGTTTTCTCTTCCATTTACTTTCAACGATTTTACTTTAACTCGCTCGATTGATTTAACAAATATACAATTTAATACTGATTTAAAAGAAAATCAAACATCAAAACATTTATCTCAAAAACTTGAAACTCTTTGGTTTGGAATGGATCGATTACTTTTATCATTTGATAAAAATCAAATATTATCATCAGTATTTATTCAAGCTCTACGATGTCCATCTAGTCAAGGTTAATTACTTGATATTTTCTTTTCTTCTATTAGTCATTCTTTTATGATATAGGGAAAACATTAGTATTATCACAAAAGAGAGGAATTATGTCAGAAAATATAGTAAATCAAATTCAATTAACACACTTTAATATGCTCGCATTATTTGATTCAATTGATACAAATATTAATTATAATCTTCAAGGTAAATTTATATTTCTTTTTGATCATTCACAAGGGTGTGGGTGTGGGTGTGGGTGTGGATATATCTCTACCCTTAACTGAGACCCACCCACACCCTCGAACTTGGAAATCTTAAACAGCATAACACTACATAAAGTTACAAAAAATTGGTAAAAAGAAAAAATTTTCGTAGAATATTTGATAATTGATTGAGATCTATTATTCGAGATGTGAATTGAAAATATTTTTTTATTAAGTACCTTTGATATTTAAAAATTCTTGTAGAAAAATATCAGAGTTAATTGGAATATTGGCAATTTGTTATATATTAAAATATGAATGTTCTTTCTATAGAATTAATTAGTTGGTTTCAACTACTACCGAATATTATTTGTCTGGAGATTTGTTTGACAGAATTCAAGTATTGGTTGACAAATGATACGAATAATTTATATCTTTGTTCTGTTTTACAACGTCTCGAACGATTACATGTTGATTGTTCTTCATTAATTAATAGGCAAATGAATGAAGAAATTTATCATTTATTTCTATCGTATATCATTGATAAAGATCGTTTTCCTCAATTAAGATGTTTACGTTTAAGGAGCTGCAAAAATATTGCATCGTCATGGGAAAATATCGATCAATGGATTAGTTTTATTCTTACTCATATTAATGAACATCAATTAACATGTGTACGTTTCGATTTTATTGAGCAAGAAAAGAAAACAACTGAAATGAATATATGTAATCAAATAATGAGAATTGTTCAATTATCATCGATTATCGACATTCATCAATTTGTACATGACAATCATATTGCTTTATGGATCGAACGAAGATACAAGTATTTTTCATTAACAAAATAATTCATTCATGTTAGATTTATTTGTGCAAGAGATATTAAGAAATAAAAATAAATAAATTTGTTGAAAATAAGTTTCCGTAATTAAAAGGAATTTATTATTATATCTTATTATGTAGTTTAGAAATCGTTAACTCGAGTTTCTGCATGTAAGTAATGTTGAAAAACTGTTTTCGCGAGGTTAATCATTCGATTTCTGTTGCTAAGCTATGTGGGTGGGTGAATGTGGATATACTTTTTTTCATTTTACATCTAAATCCACATCCTCAAGTTTCAGTCTGTGATCTATAGTATCGATTCACATGTAGAAATTAGAATTCTTTGTTTTATTTAAAAAGAAAAAAAATTGCACATATATACACATTATATGGCTTAGTCCGTGATTGAATGATCATGTACTGCATGTATATGTTAAATACATGTTTCCTTCATATCGTTCTGCTTCGATACTATTTGAACATCCTTTGAATAAATTGTTTTTTGCCTCTGAGAATGTATGTGCCCAATCATTCTGATAGGACGTATCAACTGTACATTTGCATTTTCTAGATTGTGCATTGACACAACCCCATGCCAATCCAGTAACAGAAGGCAATCTATTTATACAACTCACGGCATCTTGCATTGAATTTACCTTACGTGTATTACAATATGTTGCATAAGTATTACGATCACCATTGCACATTCCTGCAGCACGAATATTTCTAATAGAAAATAAAAGATAGATAGAAAATCTATTTTTATATCAACTACTTACCTATTAGAGGGAAGATACAAGCAACTCACGCTTAATACTATCATCAAAAACAATAAAACCGTCACTAGTCGAATCATTTTTAGGATAGATCTATATATGTGTATGTTTAAATTATAAATGATTCAATTTCTTCCATATATTTATATTTCAAATGTTATTGCGTCTTATTTATTATTTAATACTGCGCAAAACGATAATAACAAATTTGTCAACATAATAAACGACAGGTATAACCTTGATGATGTAGAAAAGGAGGAAGTAATATATACTACTTTTATGAGAAGGACATACCTAAAGAATCTTTTTTTTACATCCGTCCTAGAAATCACAAGTACCTAAATTTACATATTGACAGAAAAAGAAAAAATATTGCGCATATAGAGGGTGGGTGCGTATAAGTCAGTACAACACGCATCCTTATGGAATAAAATGTTGATATAAGAAACACTTACAAAATAAGCATTTGAGTAAATTTAAATGAATAAATAATTCAGAACACGTATTCATATAGAAAAGGATAAATTGAATGTAAGTATTTTGTTTACCTTATCAACATCCTCATTAGTTCGTTTATGTGATATGATTACAGATTTTGTTTTATTATCTGTTCTTCTTGTTCTTGTTATTTACAGATATGTTATTCATGAACTTACTTCAAGGTGCTTTGGTAACCGAAATGTGTCAATGATCATACATTCTAAATCCGATGAATACTATCAAAATAATTAAATGTTATAAAAAAATGACACTGTAAAACTAAGAGAACATTTGAAAGGATAATTAAAATTATCGTATCAGTTGTACTTTTTGTTAATTATAATAAAATAATCTACAAGACCTGAGAACAAAGATATATTTTTTATTTCGGATAGAATATTAAAGCGTCTGATAATTCAATAAAATCATAGAAGAAACAATTTGTGGAGGTGATAAGATGAAAGTTGTTCTAACTAAAGTAGTTTTAGAATTTGAATTACTTGCAAGAAAAAAATAAGTTCACTGAAAGTTAATTTGTTTGACATAATTAATATAATTCTGCACTGTTTAAAGGAGCATAACCATTGGATGTGCCACCAGTAACTAACACTTTCCCATTTAATAATACAGATGCTATGTGACTAAATCGACCATAAATCATATTACTAGTAGTTGTCCAGATATCTGTTGATGGATCATATAGTTCAGCAGTATTTATGATACCATTACGATTCTCTCCACCAGTAACTAATACTTTCCCATTCAATAATACAGATGCTGTGTGACCTTGTCGTGCATTAGTCATATCACTGGTAGTTGTCCATGTGCCTGTTGATGGATCATATAGCTCAACGCTATTTAAAACACCACCTCTATTAGCTCCACCAGTAACTAATACTTTCCCATTTAATAATATAGATGCTGTGTGACCTCGTCGTGCATTATTCATATCACTCATTGTTGTCCATGTGCCTGTTGATGGATCATATAATTCAGAACTATTTATAGCAACCCTATTACCATCCCATCCACCAGTAACTAATACATTTCCATTTGATAATATAGATGCTATGTGATAATATCGCATATTAATCATGTTACCAGTAGTTGTCCAAGTATTTGTTGATGGATCATATAGTTCAGCACTATTAGTAGCGTTGCTACTACTATCCCGTCCACCAGTAACTAATACTTTTCCATTTAATAATGTAGATGTTGTATGACTAAATCGCGCATGAATCATATTACTAGTAGTTGTCCAAGTGCCTGTTGATGGATCATACAGCTCAGCACTATATACATAACCATTGCCTACACCACCAGTAACTAATACCTTTCCATTTTCTAATACAGATGCTGAGTAATAAGATCGTGCATTAGTCATGTTACCAGTAGTTGTCCAAGTACTTGCTGATGGATCATACAATTCGGCACTATTTAAATAACTAGTAAGGCCATAGGATCCACCAGTAACTAATACTTTTCCAGTTGATAATACGATTGCTGTGTGATAATATCTTGCATTAGTCATATTACCGGTAACAGACCATTCTAGGTAGAAACATTTGATTGAATTCATTCTCGAAAGACTGTCGCTTGTGGAATTCACAAAATGATGTAATCATGTACGGAAAGTTTAAGATTTTGTAAAATGAAAATTGTTTTTTACTTTTATTGCTAAGTTTTTCGAACTTTTTGGAAAATGCAAAAAGTCTCAAGTTTGTTGTGAAAAAATCATTCTCGATACGGTACGAAAGTAAGTTTCGCATTTTTGATAAAGAATCGTTATTATATACCGCTTCTATTGATGACAGTCAGCTAATGAAACTCTCTAGATAAAGGAAAAGCAGTAGGATTCACAAAATTCTCGTCAGATTCCCACAGCAAAATCGAAATGTGGTGCTTGTTTCTTTTTCAGATTCGTTTTTTACGAATTTTTGCAGTTGGAAATGATGTCGAGATACGGTTGTGTATACAGCATCTTTCCCGACTAAGGAATGTGGTGATTTATCATGTCGGAAACCTGAAATATAACTTATCCAGGAAGCAGCAGAATCGATCAAAGATGAGGGACTAACTAGTAAATAATACACAAATACAGCAATTTATATTTAAACACGAAATAGAGACGGGGGAGAACTGTCTGGCATTTCTACGCGAGAAAATGTCATACACAACAGATATACGTACGCTCCTTTGGAGCAAAATTATTTTTTTCTGTTTTATTTTCACGTAAAAGTAGGATATATGGTAATATCAAACGAAGAGAAAAAATAGCGAGTGTGGGGATTATTGTAGCTCGTTTCTTCTTAAGTTAACCATTGAATCACTCATCACAAGATCACTGTTGTTTTAATATAACTTTTAGTTAGATGATATAGAAAGTTGTTGGATACAAAGCAGTCGCTTATATCTGATTTAAAAGTACCATTTAAGGAGACTGGAAAACGTTACTCTGAAGCTTACCTGACGGCTGTGTTGTGGTCGTAGTTGTTGTTTGTGGTAAAGTTGTGATCGGTGTCACTAGTGATGTTGTTGTTGTTGTTTGTGGTAAAGTTGTGATCGGTGTCATTGGTGGTGATGTTGTTGATAATGATAGTGGTGTTGATATTGTTGTCGCTAGTGATGACGATGATGTTGCCACGGGGGTATTAGTTTCTGATTTCTTCGGTGCAAAAACGACGAAATTTAACACCAGACCAAGGGTAACAGCAAAAACTATTAAAATAATAACGGAAACGCCGGTTAATTTAATCCAACGACGGTGCCACCATTTGTGTGTTCCATTATTTACAGTAGCAAGCTCACTGTAAACTTCGTTGGTGTGCATATTATGTTGCAGATAAAACTTTAACGCAAAAAAAGAACATATTATTGTTCGAAGTTACATTCTGTTTGCCTATTACTCACGTAACTAACAAAAGATAACAAATATTATATTCAACATTAAAAGGGTTGTTATACTTTTATCTTAATATAATAAATTTTACATGTAAGCATAACAGAACAAAACTGTACTTCACGACCACATTTTCTCACACTTCTTATTTTAATATTATTTTTTTTTCATTCTATCCACATCATAGTCGAAGGCGTAGGTGAGGGTGTTGGTGTGAGCATGGTAATAAATAAAGAATAGATATCGAAAACGAATCAAAGCAATTATCATTTATCACCTTTATGTATTTTTAGAGTGAATACAATGTGAATGGAAAAGTAGAAATCTTTTGATCTCATCATAAACGTTTCTTAATAAATCTTTAATAAAAATAGTCGATAACAAATTTTATTTGTAGTAGAGATAACGATTGTTAATACTCTACCGTCTTTTTTCATAAGAAATAATAAAAAAAATGAAACTACATGAATTCGAGTGTGGTGTGCTCATAGTTCCACTTTCAAGATGATTTTTTCATTATTGTTCAGTTTGTTCAAGTTCACTCCAGAGTTTTTTTATATTTGCAACAGCAATTACTTGTTTATCTTGAGAAAAGTTAAATAGATCCCAATTTTGATTACAACTGTCATCTTCTTGACAAACAAATGCTATTTTTTTAAATTCTTCTTGTTTATTTGTATTTAACCAATCGATTGATTTTTGAACAAGTTCTTGTAATATCACACGGACTACATTTTTTTCAGCTTCACTCCAATTTCCATCATGACTAATTCTTGTTCCCACTATATAATGTTCTTTATATTGAGTAAAAATTGTTGAAAAAAGTAATGGCATATAATTAACTGCTGTGCACATAGCCAAACAATTGAGATGTTTTGAACCAGGAGTAAGATTTGAACGGCTATTTTGAAATATTTTATTAAAATGACTAAAAATATAATGATCGCCATTTAAATCTAAAGCTTCTTTTAAAGGAATTGTCGTGTTACTATAAACATCGTCATAAATCCAACAAAATTCATCACAACATGTTTGAATATATTTTCGTAACAGATCATTCATAAAATTCAATGAGTTTGTATTTGATGGATGAAAAAATACAGCCAATGATTCATTTGGTGTAAGTTTTTGTTGTATAGCTACAACTCGTAAAGCACCCATTAGAATTCCAACTATAGCTTGTTTCACATAATCCAAATACATTTCATTCTTACTGATTGGAGCAACTATTCCTTTCTGATATGATAGTAGACATTGAGAATTATCTACGGTAGAAAGTATAAGATCAATAATGATAATCTTTATCTTTCAACAGAAACATAAAAAGTATTTGAACATCGTTATTATACTTTTCTTATATATACAAAGCGTTTCAATGTATGCAGTAATTGACAATCGATTGTGAAATTAAATGTATACATTGAGTTACCTTTTACAATCGTTGATAAAGCACATCATCATCATCATTTTTTACAATGTAACAGAAATGACATCATTAAGATAAACTTTTATTCTTTTTTTTCTTCCTTGAGGGTAAGTATGGGTGTTTTAGTCTTCTTTTATCCACACTCACACCCATCACTAATACTAAATATATGAAGAGCTCTATTAATATCCGAACACATTTGATTTTTTCAAATGAAATATTGCATGTGCATTTGATAGATCATTAATAATCTTGAGGGTGTGGATGTGGGTGCGAGAGCATCATGATCAACTGACAACCACATCCTCACCTATCGTATTTAAACTGCAATGTTATCATTTATAAGATAATTATGATTATTTATTTTTTCTAAAGATAAATTAAATATAATCAGCATGTATTGTCTTTTTTCGTAAAGTCGGCAACGATCACAATATTTTTAAAGGATTCAATTGAAATGTAGTTCTACACTATTTTATTTATTTATACAATCAATTGCCATGGTCCTGCAATCGTTCGCAATAATACTTATGAAATTGATCATATAGGTACTGTATAAATTCTCGTGATAAATTTCTAAGATTAATGCTAATTTTACGTAATGATTGAGTATACCACATACTTGTGAATTTAATCCTCTCTGGAGTCAAAAATACTACTA